CAATGCAAGGCTGGGCTAGAAAGAAACAAATAGCATTGCCGGTGGTACCAGCATCTGGCATCAATCATGTTGTTTTAGGCAAATAGTTCAAAGAATGGAGACAGAAAGTTACAAGTATTTGAAAGAATTAGAGCCACTTTTGTAAGAGTACTGCCATTCAATCCTATACTCTTCTCAGGAAGCACATTTACAATACCAAATACAACATGTATCACAAATATCCCATACAAGAGCCATCTTTTAGGGCACTAATAAGAAGACAGCCATGCACTCAGCAATGCCGGCCACTGCATGATCTGAAAGTCTAAAAAGTAGAAAGACAAGAAGCCTCTTACCTTTGCTAAGAAGCCCCACGAGCCAATGCTTATGTAAGGAAGTGGCCACAATGCCATTGAGGTACCCAAGCCCAAGGCCTAGGCCATACATCCTTGCATGAACAGTATACCATACTGACTGTACAGACGTACCCCATTCAAAAAGTCACTCAAATTTGCAGATGAAAGCATGACATAATAAGACCGACAACTTTTGGTTTCTGAGCACAAGGAATCTACTGACATATGTTATAAGCATTCTCTGCTTTCAGTGAAGTCTAATAACTAGAGTGTCGTAGGAGATTGTCAGAGTATCTTGTGGTGCAACTGACAACTGGATAGCAAAGACAGCAACAGAGCTCGGAATCAGAGTATCAAATGTTCAGATACGGGCTCCCTTCTAGTGGGAGTACGGGCCACTCGGGTGGCATCCTCCTAGGGGTGAAGGATGCCACCTTTGACGTGGGTAGCATGGATCGGGGTGAGTTCTTCGTGAGCATGGAGATCTTCGAGCGGGCCCTAAACTTCAAATGGGAAATCATTGCGGTTTATGGCCCAGCCGACCACCGCCACTCAGAGACCTTCCTCGGTGAGCTCCGCACGAAGGTGGCGTCCGCCCAGCTACCGGTTGTGGTAGGAGGTGATTTCAACCTCATCCGTTCAGAGAAAGACAAGAGCAATAATTTGGTGAACTTCCCTCGGATGCAGATGTTCAATGACTGCATTGCTGACATGGGCCTTCGCGAGCTCGATCGAGTCGGGGCCAGGTTCACTTGGACAAACCGACAAGTGGAGCCGACTCGCTCCGTTCTCGATAGGGTCTTCGCCTTCCCTGAGTGGGACATTCGTTGCCCCCTAGCTTCGCTCCGGGAAATTAGGCGGATTGGCTCAGATCACGTCCCCCTACTCCTCTCTTCGGATAATGAGCATCCTCCCCTACCGCCCCGATTCTGCTTCGAAACCTTTTGGCTGCGCCAGCCTGGGTTTTCCGCCGTGGTAGGCGCACGGTAGCGCGAGGCGTGTGAGGCCCCCCATTGATCCCTGTCGGCCGTTGACAACTGGCACTTCTGCGCCAAGCGGTCACGGCAATTCATGAAGGTTTGGGGTGCAAACGTTGGCCGGGACATCCGGGAGCGGAAAAAAGTCCTCCTTGCAGACATCCAGGCTCTCGACCTGCAGGCTGATGCCGCTGGACTCTCTGCCGATGAATGGATGCTTAGATACGACTTGGAAGACCAGCTCACGGTCATCTACACAGACGAGGAAGCCTACTGGCGTTTGCGGGGTACTCAGAATTGGGTCCTCAAAGGGGACGCCAATACCGCCTACTTTCAGGCCATCGCTAACGCCCGCCGACGCCGGAACTCCATCCCTCTCCTTTGGGACGGAGCGACCCTCCTGCAGCGGCCCGAGGACATCCGGGCTCATGTTAACGGCTTCTATAGAGACATATTCTCTGCCTCCCCTCGGGGAGGTCTTGCCCTTGCGCAAGACATTTGGCCTGCCCACAGTTGCGTTCCGCATGTGGACAACGCGGCCCTCACGGCACCGTTCTCTGAGGCAGAAGTTTGGGCGGCAATTAAGGGCATGAATCCATCCTCAGCTCCCGGTCCAGATGGGCTCCCAGTGAAGTTCTTCCAGACTTTCTGGGAGGTGATCAAACCTGAGGTGATGGCCCTATTTGATGAGTTCTTGGTCGGGTACATCGACCTCGCCCGACTCAACTTTGGCGTAATCACCCTCATCCCCAAAGTGACCGGGGCCTTGGATATCCGCCAATTCTGACCGATTACAGTGATTAACATCATCTTCCGCATCCTCGCGAAGGGGTACGCCATTAGGGTGGCCCCTATTGCCGACCAGATCACTCACCCTGATCAGTCGGCCTTCATCCATGGCCGTTATATCCTTGACGCACTCCATGAGGTTCACATCAAACACCTCAAGGCAGTCTTCCTGAAACTGGACTTCCACAAGGTCTATGACACGGTTAGCTGGTCTTTCCTTCGGGAATGTCTTCTCTGTAAGGGTTTTGACGATCGTTGGGTGACCAGGGTGATGCAGATGGTATCCTTGGGTCGGACCGCGGTGAACATTAATGGGGAGATCGGCCCATTCTTCCCCACTTTCTGTGGGGTACGCCAGGGCGACCCCTTCGCCCCGTTCCTGTTTAACATAGTGGCCGATGCTCTGGCTGCCATCCTTGATAAGGCCAAGGCTGCGGGCCACATTAAGGGTATAGTCCCACATCTTGTTGGAGGGAACGGGATCTCCCTTCTCCAATATGCGGATGACACCATCATCATGGTGGAAGGCTCGGCGAGCGATATTTCGAACCTCAAGTTCCTTCTGCTGTGCTTCCAGCAGATGTCTGGCCTTAGGGTCAACTTCGACAAGAGCGAGGTGATGGTCTTGGAATACTCCCAAGACGACCGCCAGAGCATTGCGGATCGGCTTAACTGCCAGCTTGGGAGCTTCCCCACGACGTATCTGGGGATACCCATTAGTGACTCTAGGCTCACGGTGGCCGACCTGCGCCCCACAGTGGGGAAGCTTCAGCACCATATCGAGCCCTGACAGGGTCGGTGGCTCTCGAAAGCAGCCCGTATGGTGCTTATTAACTCGTCCCTCTCCAGCCGACTCTTGTTCATCATGAGCTTCTACGGCCTTCCGGAGACTCTTCATCATGAGATCGCCACAGTCCAGGGGCGCTACTTCTGGGCCGGTGAGGGTGATAAGCAGAAGTACCACATGGTTAGGTGGTCAGAGATCTGCAAGCCTCGCGACCAGGGCGGTCTCAGGATCATGTCATCCAAACGCATGAACATTGCCCTCCTGACTCGGTGGCTTTGGCGGATTGCCAACGGAGATGGTGGACTGTGGCTTCGCATCATTCAGCAGAAATACCTCCGTGGCCAACCTCTTGCTTTCTGCCAGCGATCTGGGGGCTCCCAGTTCTGGCAATCCGTCATTCAGCTCCTTCCGGTCCACTGGATCGGGACCTCGACTGAGGTCGGATCTGGCACTGCCACACTGTTCTGGTTCGATAGATGGACTGGCGACTTGCCCCTCGCGGCCCACTTTCCCGACATGTTCTCCATAGCGGGTGCCCCGCAGATCTCTGTCGCGGCAACCCTTATTGACTTGGGGCAACTCGCGTTTCGGAGACCTTTTGGCCCGGCCGAGACCGCCGACTGGCAGGAGCTGCTCGACTGCATTGCCTTGCACGAGCCTGATCTTACGACCGAAGATGACCGTTCCAGTTGGCGACTAGAGCCTTCTGGACAATTCTCAACCAAATCTCTTTACCAGGCCATCGCCCCCTCGCCTGGCCATGAGGCGCTCTCCTCCATCTGGGAGATTCGCCTTCCCCTAAAAATTAGGATCTTCTTGTGGCAATGGATTCGCGGTCGCCTCCCGTTCGACATGGAGGTCCTGAAACGCAATGGCCCTGGTGATGGGCGATGCCCGCTCTGCGGGCCGGAAGAGGACTCGAACCATATCTTCTTCACCTGCGTGTCCGCGCAGTTCCTATGGAGCTGTTTCCGCGAGATAGTGGGTGGAAGCTGGGACCACAACAATTTCCCCGCTCTCTTCGCCGACCTCCAGGCAATCCCATCCGCGGTACACCACATTAGGTGGCTGGCCATTGGGGTGCTTGCCTGGACGCTGTGGACTGTTAGGAATAAACTTGTGATTCAGCGCATTCCTCTTTGTCATGCTACTGACGCTTTGTTCAAATGGTCTGGTTACTTGCAGCTTTGGCGGCCGCTTAGCCGCCCCAGGAAGAGAGACGCCATCACATCCATCATCTCCCAGCTTCGCACGATGGCTCGCCGGATGGCTCCATCGCTTCCCCCACCACCACCGGAACCAGATTAGATCGTTATCTTCTCGCCATCGCCACCGCCCTGCCGTTTATGTGTTATTTCGTCGTGTTCCTGTGTTGGGCTTGTTGTGTTGTGCCCACAGCTGGACTTAGGTCTGTTGGTCTCTGTGTGTGTGTGTGTTGGACCGGGCCGCGGTGGCTTTGTGTGCGTGTGTGGTGCGTTTTGTTGTGACCTTGGTACTTTGTGCTTGGTGGTTGCTTTATTTATAAAGCGGGGCGAAAGCCTTTTTGGGTAATGTTCAGATACCCTATCCACATATTTATGTCAAGTTCAAGTTTTGTCCCTTTATGACAAGGTGCCCTACTCACATTTAACACTCGATGTACATTTATGGGAAATAAACTCACAGTACACAAAAGAAGTAGGACTTGACCTGGAGCGAATACCACAGATAGGGAAGATTCTCCTGCATTGCTGTCAAATTCAGTGAGCAGAATAGGGCATGAGCAGTCACTTATCAGGACTGAACCAGCCAGGCAGTCAGGCATAATCAGGTTAGAATCTTTCAGAGATTTGTTTTTTCAACAGGCACAATGAAGCGCATAAAGCATGGTAAGTTTGTCTCTGCACTGGAGATATTAAATCAAAATGCATTTGCAATAAGTAAAATTCTTTCATTTTCCGTAACCCAACATTGCATTATATTTAACTCAATTTTCAAGTTAGGTTTTCACCATCAATCAAGTTAGCACAATCATAAGTACAACGACAAAGCTATACTCCATCTACTTTCAAGACGCTGCTGCCATTCAACAACATCCTGCTAGACAAAAAAATTGTCCTGATTTTGACCCAGCTACCCCAAGCTGTTGACCCAGCTATAGTCTGGTGAGGGATTTTTGTAGTTGCGCGCCTTCCGAATTGCAGCTTGCTTTCTTTTCAGTTTTTCCATAAGATGTTGCACTCTGGGATCTTCATTAGACATGGGTTGCTGTGTACAGTGCATGTCAAGCTCAGTTTTTGACCTTGAGATTTTTGTAACCCTTTTATCAGGAAGCTCGATGCTTTGGTGATTATTCCCCTGCTGCTCATCAAGTTCATTGTCATTATGTACATTTCTTGAGTGTCTGCAGGAGAAAGTTAAGGCAAAGGTTAACCTTACAACATTGGAATTGGTAACAAAAATTTGAATCCATGCACCTGAATGAGTCAGTCAAATCAATCCTTTTATCTTCCACAGAACTCCCTGCTTCCCCAGAGGATGGTACAGCTGACATTTGTTGCCTGACTTTCTGCAGCTCCACCTCTAATTCTTCTCTCTGCATTCTTTGTCGTTCTGCTTCCTTCTTGATGTCGCGCACCTTAAGGGAAATAACCACTGTTATTGTTAAGAAAAGTTACAGCAGTAAGTAACAATAAATCAACACTGAAGTAGAAGTAGACAGCTCACCAGGTTCTCCACAGCACATACATCAGTTCCAAGATCATCAACTGACCTCTCCAATAGTTTTACTTCTTCATCCTTCTTTTCAGCATATGTCTTCCTTTCATCCGCTATCTGTAGAAGTACAACACAAGGGTTATACAAGGAAATTAATGCAAGCAGTATTAAGAGATACGCACCTGTCGAGCATCCATAGCAATTGCTTCATTTTTTTCGGCCACTGCCTGAGCCATCTCCAGCTTCTCTCTCAACATAAGCACCTGAGAGTCACAGTATTGTTTCTCGTAGGAAAGCTTGGAGAAGTCATTTTGCAAGTTTTGAAATAAGTTGTTCCTTTCATCAAGTAAATTTCTCAGCTCAATCAACCCTTCTTCCATTCTTTCAGTGGAATTACTTCTATGGGCCAACTCCTCTTTCCTAGAGTAACTGATCCGTTCAATATGGTTGAGCTGAGATCTCAATTCAGTGTTCTCCACAGAAACTGCATTTAGTTCACCAACTGTACTTGCTAGTTGCTCCTCTAGCACCGAAATCTTTTCATTACTCTTCATGATTTGAGCTTCTAGTGGCTGGCTTCCAGAAACAAGATTATCAAGATCATGTGATTTAGAAGCAACCTCAGGTTCTAATGATTTAATTGCTTCAGCCAACGCAACAAGTTGATCTGCTTGACCTTTTGCAACAGATGCTGACTCCTGTAGTATGCTAAGATCAAATGACAAGCCCTTTGCCAATTCATCTTTCCTAGCTAGTTCAGACTGTAAAGAGGAATTATGGGTGCTCAATTCCTCAACAGACAATTGAACCAAGTTTAAGTCATTGGACAACTTCATCATCATGGTTGATTGTTCATCGATGTACATTTGTACTTGAGCAGTAATTTGTTCCAAACATGCTTGAATGGAGACAGATAACTTCTCCATATCAATATTAGAAACCAAATCAACCATCCTGCTGTCCTTGCGCAGAATATGTAGCATTTCATGTCTCAGTGAATCATTCTCTGACTTCAAAGCATTTTCAATTGAAATTCCGAGTTTAATGACCTTGGCTTTCAACTCAAGCTCTTTACATAAGGCTGCATGGGAGCATTGCAACTCCATAAGATCTTTGGCTTTTCCATCTCGATCTGTTTGCAAGGATCTGATGTTGGACTCTAAGGAGTCAATTACATAACTAAGTTTTGGGTTTTCCTTGCTCATTGCAAGTAGGCTTTCCATAACTTCATCCTTGTCCCGCTTCAGGTTCTTCAAATGAATCATTATATTACTGTTCTCCTCATGTAAATCATAAATTGCAACACTGCCCAAATCCTGGTCAACTCTCCACAAAGTTACTTCTGTCTTCATCCGTTCAAGTACTTCAGTAAACATAAGGTTCTGTTTTTGCAGTTGTACCTTGTGTTGCTCCAATTCTGAAGCAAAAACAAAAGATTCAATATCATTTTTAATTGTATTGATCATAACCGACTCGTGGTGGTAGTTTACAAGCCAACTGCACAACTCAAATTCATTGCACCCGTTAATATCATTTGCAGGTATACCACTGTGTACTTCAGGCAGACTCACAACCTTAAGCATCGTGTCCTTTAACATTCTATTGAGAAACAAAGCTTTGTCCAACTGGTTATGCAGCTCTTCTTTTTCTTTGGATTGAGCTGCCAAAGAACTCCTGTTGGTAGCATCAATCTCTTCAGTCAAAACGGATAGCTCATTATACATGGAACCTGACCGTGCCAACATTGCTTTTTCTTGTGCTTGCAAATGCATAACTTTCTTCCCGAAAGAATCCAATCTTGAGCTCAGTTCAGTTGCTTCTTGTTCCTTCTTGGCAATACAACAAAACCTGCTGTTGATGTCGAGTAGTAACTTTCTTTTGAGAACACTACACATTTCCAGTTCATTCTTTGCTTTATCATTGTGCTCTCGCAGCATAGATATCGAAGAATCAGATTCGCGGATCCCACGCTGAAGGAGACCATTTTCTGCATGCAGCCCAGTAATTCTCGCCGACAAAATCCCCATATGGCAGAGGTGTAACACAGAAACAGCATAATCTTTTCCAATTATCTCTAACCAATTCTCCTCCAACCAAGCTCTTGCCAACTCTGCAAACTGCTGAAGTTTTGACTTCATCCATTCAATATCAGACAAAACAAACTCAAGGTTCTCCGCTAGCGAATTCTTCAGGTGTCTGATGCCATCTTCCAGTTCAAGAGCTACCTCATTTGCTTCAAGCAGGCTTGATCCAAATTTATTTTCCATATCCAGGTAAGTTAGTTCCTTCACATCCAGCAGCATCTTCAAACTACTGACCTCACTTAGCAAGTCATCCTTTTCAATAGTAAATGAAGATTCCTTTTGCTTGTACTTCTCTGCTTGATGTTTTGCATTTTCATTCAATTCCACCAGTGCCTTGACTGTAGAGTCTGCATCAGCTATAGTTGCCTGTGCTTCTTGAAACTTGGCTAAAAGAATTGATGCCTCAACTGATTTCTGTAGTGCAAGACATTTTGCCTCTGCGAGCTCAAATTCAAGTGCCTTGACTGTAGAGTCTGCATCAGCTATAGTTGCCTGTGCCTCTTGAAACTTGGCAAAAAGAATTGATGCCTCAGTTGATTTCTGTTGTGCAAGACATTTTGCCTCTGAGAGCTCAAATTCAAGTACCTGAAAGAATTATCACATTTGAAAACAAGAAATAATGATCGACCAAATCAACAAACTGAATTATTAAACATAACAATTTATCCTCGAATACATGCTCTCTGTTGCTTGTATGCCAAAATAAATTAACAAATGCATTGATCCAACCACATCAAATTCCATCATGTCTTGCAGAGCCAATACAGTGGTGAATTGATCCAACACATGAAATTTCACAGAGTTCACTATTTATCATTCGCCAGAAGATGGTTAGGACTCAGGGATATTCAGCAGATGATGCTAAATTACGCCATAGGTTCTTTTGAGTTCTTTGATAATTTTGTTCCATGTCTAAAATATAAAACAACTTTTTTTGAAGAATAAACCTGGCAATAATAAACTTTTGTATGAGGCAATGTCAGTATGTTGCATAACCTAAAGAAGGACAGATTTCTGCAAAAATCCATAGAGCACCATAAAGCACTCTCCTACTACCTATTACTTTACACATTAAAACCATTTTAACCGAAAAAGGCTTTCGCCCCGCTTTACCTACTTGTATAAAAAATCTAGTAAAATCCTTACTGGAAATAGAAACGAATCTACTGTGAATATATGCTAATTTACAAGTCGAACTGTTTAATTTGTTCAGGAGGACACAAAACGAATTATGCAATGAGAACTTCAATGGAAGCCTAATGGCCTTTCAAGACGTTACCTCTTTCTCTTTATGCCATAAAATAAGTGATGTTGTGGCATCACAATCCTTTTCTTGCATATCTATCTCCAATTCTTTCATTCTAGCTTCATAGCCCTTCTCTTTGTCAATTATTTCTGACTTCAATTCAAGGGCCTCAGAACTTAAATCTTTAATAGTTCTTTGACTCCAGAGATGGCATTCTTCCGCATTTTCCTTTTCTTGCAGAAGCTTGGTAAATTGAGACCGCAGTATCTGCAATTCGCAAATGGCAGATTCCCTGTCCTTACATAGATGACAAACAACCTCAGCTTTGCGCTGCTCTTCAGTTTCAAGGGCTCCATGTGTTCGAGGCACATGTTCAAGGTTGATGACAGCAAGCTCCTCCTGATAAAATGATCTTTCAGTTTACAGCACTGTTATACAGAACGAAAGTAGGACTAAAATTCTGCAGACATAACCTTCAGGACATGTATCTGATCTTGCAAAGCACGCACATCCCCTATAGCATCTTCATTGACAACCGCCTTCAGATTTGAAGAGAACAGAAATTTCAAGTGATGGTAACCTACGATATATTTGTAACAAAAGAAACTGACTTAAGAATGAAATACATACATTGTTCTGAATGAGCCTTGCACGCTGAGCAAACTTGAGAGTACTGAGTGTTCCATTACTTGAACTACATGAACACACAAGAAGTTGTATGAGCATCCCAAACAAGATCTCATGCTTTCTTCAGTTTGGATCAAAGTCACAGAGTTCATTACCACAATGAAGGGCTGACGTTTGCAATGATCAATGTCTTGGAGTTTCCACCAAGTGAATCCTATAAGCAAAGGGAGTAGAATGACACTGGCTAGACATCAAGGGAAAACAGCAACAAGTAAAACAATAGCATGGTATTGGTATCTCGAGGTTCTTACCTGGAGAAGAAACGTCAATCTTGAGTCCCTGTAAGGAACATGCCTTTTCTTTCCATGTGTAAGATCAACTAAACTCATTATCACATGGCTGAAATTCACAATCCAGGAAAGTAGCCATGACTGAATAAAAGCGTAAATAATCCTTTTTCATATTAAAATATGTTTTGCGATTTTGAGTGTTAATCACGAACCTGAGTGTTGATAATGATTTGTTGATATTAGAAGCTTCCTTCAGCCTCTCACCTTTCAGCACCAGATGACGTTTGCCTGTTTTAAATGCATATATCAACGGATTGGGATTTCAGACCCGGCCAGATAAATTGTGAGGCAAGTGAGAATATAGATCTACCTTTCAGACCCGGCGAGATCAACTATATTCAATCGTGCAAACCGTGTGTTAGATATGGAATCCTTCTCCCACCTACTCTCAATAGTGCATGTGAGAACACTGTGGGAGCGGCTACTTGCATGATTCATATGCGTCATAGAGACTTTCCTATTCGCAGAACCCTGCAGTAGGTTTCAGGCATATGCACACAGACAGTCATCATAGGATACTTGCAAGAAGAAGAAAATCCTAGAAAAAACGTATTTACCTGCATCAAAAGTGTTATGATGTCACTGACGCACGTAACTTCACGTTTAGTCACATTTTCAACATAGACACCAACCCTCGTATCTTCTCGGAGCTGCACATCAAGTTTCATGCTTAGTACATCGCACTACTAGATCATACACTTAGCAACAGCAAGAAAGCATACTTGAAGATTTGTGGATGAAGGGTCAAGAAGATCTGTAATTTGTTCATTGTAAATCTCCAGGAAAGAACACTCGCAGTTGTACTTAAGGTTCTCATCCCTCCTGCTCTCTTCTTCCTGCAATCTCAGGATTCACACATAACAGATTTGGAATCCATAGCAGTATAAGACACATCACAATGTTGTCAGCAACAAGCCTTGTGTTATCAATCAACAGAGGAAGAAAAATTACCGCTCTGATTCTCGCAATCAAGAACTCAAAAATACGTGGTGTCATGCCACATTCTGGACCAGGCTTCACTCCCAACTCACTGATTTCGCCAAGCATTGTGTGTGTCTTCCCACTTCCATCCAGTCTGCAAACAACTTAATGTTTAACCGCATGAATATAACTTTACATTATAAGTAAGAAAAATTAAGGTTATAACAATATACCTGCCCATAAGCAAATACACAGCTGTTGTATCCAGCCATACAGTTCTCCACCATTGGTAAACCAGCAACTAGAAAAAGCACTTCCTGCAAATTCAAGATTTGATCACAGTCCAAGGATTAGCACAAGAGCATGAACCAGATTGTTTTGAAGCTGACCTGATTCACTGACTCACAAGCAACGTGGTCGAATGTGAAGCGAGTTTCTGGCTGTCCAATCCATGTGATGCTCTGCGCACTTTCTTGTTTCAAACACCGACTGTGACCATGAAGATTTTTCTCTGTGTCGTTTAAAGGACGGACACGGATAACAACGTGGATATTAAACCACAAATGTAAAGAATTCGTATAGCAAAGCCGACTCTCCAACACATGCGCTGACTCAAATTCAGAACTAAAATACACACTTGCCAGTTATAAATGGAAACAGAAAGGGAAAAAATATCAAAGAACGCATGTCTTGGATAGTACACAATAACAGGAGAACTTTCCAAATCAAACATTGTTATTTAGTATACTAGATGAGGTAAATGAATTATGGTTAATTGTGATGAATGAGTAAACGATATGCACTTGCTCTGTCATACTCCCCAACCAATCAATACAATTGCACTAGGTGCTAGGTAGCAGCAAAAAGAATTCAGCGGTAGGGCGTACCTGCACGTTGTTCTCCATCCAGAACGAGGGGTCCTCCTGGAGCTCATAATGCGGCACCTCCGCGGAATTTACCACTATTGCCGGCAGACACCTCCCCACCATCGAGAACCCCAACTCAAGCCCCCGGGCACCACCACTCCTCTGTACGATGCACGCCGGCTTCCTCGCGCTTTTAGTTGGCTTCCGCTGCACAGACCCCCCATAGGCAGTCTTAGCCCGATGCCCACGAGGAGTGGCGGCAATCGCGCCACGGGGGGCTGGGCTCACCCGCGACGGCGTCTCCTCGCCACGTGGTGCGAACCGTCTCCGGGACGGGAGCCTCGGCGTCTCCACGGGCCACTCCAGCTTCCTCTTCAACCGTGCTGCCGGTGTATGGACGGCGAGCAGAGGAGGCCGGGAGGATGCCATGGTGGAGTCCTTGGTGACGACATGGACGAGTTCGGGAACAGTCTTGCCGTCACGGGCTTGTTCCGCCTCAGGAGCCCTCGCCGGAGTACGGCAGAGAGATCCGCCGAGACCGCCCACCATTCTGCACAAGCACCAAACCGAATGTAAGAATGAAGAAAACCAGAGAGCTGGTGACATGTCAAAATTAGGAGGCGGCGACAACGATATCCTATATCGCCGAACCGAAAGATATATACTACAAAGAGTTCTCAGCCTACAGTCAAGACATCTAAACAGACTAGGATCGGATGTGCATTTCACAATTTTTAAAAAAATGCATATATTATATATCTGAGTGAACCTTAATTCCACGCCCAAAAAATGGAAACGAATTTGAATAAACGCATGTAGAAAAATCGTAATCGCCGGCCTCCCACCCCTAAACCCTAACCCTGGTCGCAAATCGTACGACAATCCACAAGCACCCCCAATCCCCGTCCCTCTGACAACTCATTCGAACTCCGATAAAAACCAACAACAAACGGCAAGAAGAATCGCCAATCACCAATCGCAATCGAGTCGCCGACGAACCCCCCCTTGATTCCCCTCCGATTAAGCACCCACACGCCGCCCGTCGGAACCCCACGAAATGCGACGGGAAAGTACAATGCGGGTGCGGGGAAGACGAACGCTACCGGCGAAGAGGCTGCGGGCGAGCGCGATGGGCGGAGGGAGAACGCGGGGAGGGACGAACTCGTCCACCTGCTCGCCGCCCCCAATCTCTCTCTCTCTCTCTCTCTCTTCGGTTCGAAGTGGCGGGCGCGGCTAAGGAAACGAGGCGTGGAGGTGTAAAAATGGGACCCCACTCAGTTAAATAAAGCTGAGCTGAGCTGAGCTGAGCTTCTATCGTGGTCGTGGTTTTGTCTTTCTCTGTTGGCCCAATTTCAAAACGCGCCCTTGCTTTTATTTCTCCTGGAAGCAGAGGAGACGCCGCCGCCGCTCGCCTGCGACGCGCTCCGCCGCCCCCGCTCGCCGCAGGGCTCCCCGCCGTCGCCGATCATCTCCAGCAAGGTACCCAGCCGCCGCAGCGCCTTCCTGCGACGTCAGTTGCGCCGCCGCCGATGGTTCAGTGGGTCCTCGTGGGCTCCAGCGCCGTCGCGTTTGCGCTCCTTCCCGCGGGGTGCGGGGTTTGATTCACTCTCCTTGGGCCGGGTCGTGCTTGCTAGGTTCGCCCCCGTCCCTTGCTACTTGCTCACTCTCCACAATTTTTTGGCAACAACCGAAACCCTAGCTAGCTACTCCCTCCGTTCGAGTGTACTTTCAACTTCGCTGGAGGAGTTTGACCGAGTTTGTGCAAATATATATCAATGTTTGTGACACCAAATAGGTATATAATGAAAATATGTTATACCATGAATCTAATGCTACTAATTTGATGGCATAAATGTTGGTGTATTATTGTATATAAGGACGAACGGAGTAGCTTGAACAATTAACACGTCGCTGGCTTAATTAATTACTCTGTACGCTGTGGCTTGTGTTCAGGTTGATTGAAGGAGGGACCAAGGAGCAGTGGTCGCAGCTGTGTGTGAAGCTGTGTTTGTTTCGGTTGGTTGTTTGAGATTGTCAGCGTCTGGGCCGTGGGTTGTGCTTCTTAACAAGGTGATGGCTTCTGCTTGTTGGAGACAAAGGGTGCTTCCCTTTGTGTAATCATCATTTGCCTTGGTTTTGTCGAGGCAGGGGGTACTGTGAGTGTGCTTGTGCTTGTGCTTGTGGACATGGATAAAAATAAAATGGAAGGGAAGAGGACAACTAGAGCTGAGTCTAAATCAAAGGCATCTTCACCCACTAGTGCAACTGCCTTTTCAGCCACCGCCTCTCGTCGGCACCCTACTCTCCCGAGTCTGCGGGCTGATGTGGACTACTCCAAATACAATCTGAAGAAGATGAAGAAGCTCAGGCTTGTCACGGAGACAGAGTGGTTCCCACCTCAGAGACATGATCGTCGCCTGACAAGTAGCCGGTTCTGGACAGTTGTGCAGAAGGACTTGTACCTGGCTCTCAAGTCACAGGCCAGCGATATGAGGTGGATCGATTGGCCGTCAGTCAACCAGAGTGTTGGCGCAGATGTTGATGTTTGTGGATACTTTGCAGCTACTCCGGGGCATGACAAGCTGTTAGAGAGGCAGGACCTCAGCTGGGCTGACTCGCACATTCGTCAGTTCTACGCCACACTATGGATTCACCCAGATCGATCGAGGATCAAGTTCATGTTTGGGAACCAACAGCGTGAGTTGTCCAGGGATGATTTCGCCGGGTGTCTTGGCCTGTCTTGCGGTGGTGCCCGAGTGCACACCTTGGCATACCCCAATGGAAACAGTGATGAAGTTCACTTGCCACCTGTAGAAGACATTCGCCACCTTTACATCAATCCTGATGCCGTGATGGAGTTCTGGAAGGATCAAAATCAGTTGAACCATGAAACAGCTGTTGTAAACACAGTTGTGAGGATGTCGATCCGTCCTAGAGTTGGAGGCCGTGAGTCCCTAACTACAGTTGAGATTTGGCTTCTGCACTTGTTGAGGTCAGCACAGCCTGTAGACATAGTAGATTTGATGATTGGAGAGATGCAGGACACCATTCTGACAATCAGACGTCGGCTGCCCTACGCCCCGTATCTCATTCGCTTGTTTGACAAGAAAGGGTGGCTTGAGGATGGCATGAAAAGGGCTTTCGATCAGCACCTCAAGCCATACAAAGCTCCGAGGCCCGATGACAAGAGGAGGATCAAGAATAGGGAAAATCAGCATGACAAGTCGTACAAGGCTCTGAAGCCCGATGACAACAGGAGGCTCGGGACCAGGTCACTTCCAGCCCAGATGGAAGCTGGATTTGATGATGATGAGCATGTAGAGTTGGACCAAACACTTATCCCGAGCATACAGGAGCAAGCTCTTGGGGACACCACTAATGGGGAAGCTGACACAGATCCTGGCCATATAGCGCCACCCCCAGTGGCGGAGGACGAAATGTTTTTAAGGTGGGGCGAACTCTAAAGGCAAATAAATGATTTGATGCAATATCATAGCTTTTACGCAATAATAATACATCCATAATTTACATGATTTTAAACTAATTCAAATACAACGGAAATGCAAGCATATTTAAATAAGTCCGAAACATATGGATAATGAAAATTTAATGCTATCAAAGATTGCGAAGCTATTCTCTGAAAATTTACATCATAATAATTCATAACATGAAAATGTTGAAATTTATAGCCCTCCATGTGATGGCATGGTGTACTTTTTCTAGATATATCGTGGTTATTTTTAGGAAAACAGAGAGCGTGTTTTGTTTTTTTGAGAAAGAGATATTTTTTTTGAGACAATTTGAGAAAGAGAGAAAGCGTGGTGTACTGGTGCTTGCGATCGACTGGGATGGGCTTGATCGCTTAGGAACTCATGGGCCCAAATAACGTGGATAGAATCTGATGAGCGATTAGGCCCACTCGTTTTTCTTCGTTCTTACTTTTTCTAACGACGGTGCCGCGTATAGAACCAGATCTCCATGTGAAAGCAACGGCGTATGCGTACTTGTACAGATCGTTTTGCGCAAAATCAAGGTAGGGCGGGCGCCCCGCCTCGCCCTACCGGGAGCTCCGCCTGTGGCCCACCCCCAGTTCCTGATGAGTTCAGATTTGGCCAGCAGGGAGCTCACCACGCAGAGGCAGGAGGGTCGGGTGGTCATATCGCAGAGGCAGGAGGCTTGGCTGGTCATACCTATGACGTTCCTCCCATGCTGCCGAGACAGATTGATCGCCAGACGGCTATCCTTGAGCAGATGCAGAGACAGATGCAGGATAACCTGAACCTGGCTGTGGTTTCTATTGGTCAGAGTATTCGCCGTGACGCTCGCGACAGTGATATTCTGGCTCTTGATGAGAGTTTTAGTGCTTCCTGCGGACTCTAGGCGGCCTCCTGTCCCACCGGTTTGACGAAACAGACTCTACTTCTCAATGTCTAGTTTTGTGACATGATGAGCTGCTGCCTACTTCTGCTAGATCGGAGTGTACTCAGGTTCTCTCACCTTCAGGCTTAAGCCCAGCAGCCACTCGACGGGACCGAGACATAAGCTGGCTATTGTCGATTAACTTCGTTGGCGGGTTTCCCTGTGTGCTTTGTGTGTTTGATCTAGAAAGGGGAGAGATTTGACTTATATTATCCTTTTGTGCGTGGAGTCGTCTTTTGGGTGGTACTGTAAGTGTAAGATACCTATATGTTCCATGCCTACATACTTCTGCCTGCTCCTTATTTGCATTCTACATACTTTGTTTTGACAAGAATGCATGAATTTCATAGATCGAGGTTTAAAAGCTGCTGTCCTATACTTGCTGCCATCATTATCGCTGTGTGTGATGTGCTGAGTTAACCTCTTTATAGATAGAAGGCATAATGTTTTTTGATTCCTTGAGATCTCAGACCAGTGATTGAAATGCATCCAAGATGCCACTGCTTCCTAGGTCATTATTTTTACTTTTTATCATGATCTGCATGTTATCATCAGCTTTCGCATCCCTGAAAAATCACATCAATGTTTCTCGGAGAACTTGTCCATCGGTGTTTAGATTGTTGCCACCTTACAGAGTACAAGATGCGGAGACAGATTAATACTCCCTCCGTTCCTAAATGTAAGTCCTTGTAGAGATTCCACTGGATGGACTACAAACGGAGCAAAATGAGTGAATCCACACTTAAAATGCATCTATATACATCCGTATGTAGTTCATAGTAAAATCTCTACAAAGACTTACATTTAGGAACGGAGGGAGTAGAATGTTGTGTTTGGATTGCTGCCAATTGCAGAACTTTTACTGTGTATGCATACACACTTGTGCCAACCTAGTGATCTGTTTTCTTGTCGGTTCCTGCAACACCTAGTAATGTTGTGTTTTTACTGTGTTTAGGTTGTTCCTGCATATACAGGTTTTTTTACTGTGTGCATGCACACTTCAGTCGCATTGTATGCATACACATTCTTCTCAGTGAGCAAGTGTAGGAAGAAGGATATGGATTGTGTGATACTTGTGTGGTGCGACATATGGATTTCCCCGTAGAGTGGATGGTCTCTCTCATCTCATGTACTGTACGTAGCAGCTCAATCAAATAGACTGACCAGCTTTGCCTTTTTCATTCTCCAAAATGTCTGTATATTCTTGTAGTTGGCCATATGAGCCGAGGTAAGTAAATCGAATGATCTTTACAATTGAAAATTTATGTCACAATTTGGTAGTGCTGCATCTGAATCACATATCAACCAAGCCATAAATAAATCTGCAGGCTCTTTGGATATAATAAAATTAATTAGTACTCCCTCCGTTCACAAATATAAGATGTTTTACTCTATAACTTTTTTCTAAATCGGCTCAAGCCTCCTCCAAGCTTCTTGTCGTCCAACATCCTTGACTTTGGCAGCTGCTTTCTTCAGACTTGTTTCCTTATCCTGGAGTTTGGATTTCTCCTTCCTGTTACATATAAAAAAGGCAATCATTCTCAGATACCATGTAACATCAACAGAAAACAAAGCATCCTCCACCATTTCTAAAACCATCAAGTTACCAGGAAAATCAGTTAAGGATGAGAGGTGAGCTACACAAGCACAATTAATCAAGCTGAGATCACTTCTGATGGATAATACAATATATATTATGCCTAACTAGTCAACTGGCAGCAGAGTGCTTTTCTAGCAATTGTTCAGAACCTGCAAATCAATTTAGGATGAGTGCGTTCATAGAAGTGAGTGTGCGTCCGTACTGTGTTTTTCAAAAATAGAAGTAGTTGAAGGGGGCTTGGGGGCTGCTTTGCCTCTTTTCAGAAGGAAAAAACAGTAATCCACATTTTGTCCTGCTAAAAGTAGCTTTCCTTGTTACAAGCATTCTGATGCTACAGCTTTATACCATTTATATCCCCTCCCCTGTAACAGGTGAAGGATAATATTTAGCATTTTTAAACGACAACAGTAAAGTATCTAAAGAAGATCAGCACGCCAATATAACACAAGCATATGAAATCACCACTTGAATGGGCTCCTACATCCTCCAACAGAGGATGCAAATGGAACATTAGTATTACTTTGAAGACTAGCAGGGGCCCTGCTATGCAAAAATTTAAAGGTAGCTACTAGCTAGTAACAGTGGTCACTCTCCATCTCTTACAACCAACATAAATAGTTGATGGGTGAAGCTAATGCGAAAACAAACTGTCGTATCAATGATTTATTACAAACAGTGTCTAATCGACGCAAAAAACATCAATTTGCTAAGAACATTCACGACCAGCAGGCAGGGATAACAATGCCAGTGTGCAGATAATCGACATGATTATCAGGTCCTCCAGCAGCAGTGAACACCTTGATTGCTTGTTGCATTGTTGGACGGCGTGATGGATTTGGTTCTATGCACCGAGCAGCAAACGCGATCACTTTGAATACTTTGCTTGCGACTTCAGCCGCTGGGAGTGGGATCCGGATGTCCAACAAATCCTTGAGTGATGTACTCTTATCGGCCATGGATGAAAGAAAATCACTTGGATGGTGTCCCATGAACAACTCGAGCGTGAGCACCCCAAAAATATAGACGTCACATTTCTCTGTCACCCTTGTTGATTATTATTGACACTCGAAAATGGCATGATCGCAAAGGATGACTTGAGGCTATAATGAGATGATGTTAAAATTATGAGTTCATGTCACCACTGGATGGCTCTCTTCAACCGCTTGAAATAAATATAGAGATGGTCCAAAACGAAGCTCGGATGCAAAAGTTATGCCAATCTTAGAGATGCTCGTAGACACCAGATTAAAGAATGGCGCGAAACCTAATTAAGATGGCCTCGGATGGAAAAAAGTTACAATTTCAAAGTTCTTTGACTCGTCGAAACGAACGATTTTGATATAAAAATCGTCCCCATCCGAGGTCGTATTCAAAAGTTACAGGCAAAACCGTGCGCTGCAGCAATGTTTGGCCGGATCATCCGGGCCGGGGTCCGGATCATCCGGGTAATTGAAGTACAAAGACACCAGAAGGTTGGCGCTGAATCCGGATGATCTGGGTCCAATACCGGATGAATCGGATGGAGGCCGGACAGTCCGGGTAAAAGTCCGGACGTCCGGGCAGTTTTTTTCTGCTGCCGATGTTAGAAAACAGCCCTAAACTCCCTCAAGATGACCTCAGATTGAAACGTGTTCAACATGAAAGTTGTGTGTCTCATCGAGGCGGTTGATTTTGATATAAATCTTGCCCAAATCCAAGGTCGTATGTGGATTTTAGAGCCCAAACAGTGAGCTGCTGTCAGAAAACTGGGCTAGGCCGGATCATCCGGGCCTAGAGCCGGACATCCGGGCCGGAGGTCGTGAGAAGTCCGAGTTTGGCCAGATTTTGATGATTTGGACGGTAAGGCAAGTCCTTTTCTTGTACGGAAAATCCACCCTCCTCTTATATAGATAAGAGGTGACGGCCGATTGAACAACACATAATCGAACAAATCTATCTACACTTTTTACCTTTACTTTTGCTTCTCCCTTTTTCTTCTTCTTCCTCGTTCTTCGCCTGTTCTTCTTGTTGCAGGGCGGCAAACCTCGAGGCCCTAGGGGCGATCAGGTCGACCTAGGGCAGGCCATAGCCGCCGCGCGCCCTGACGGGGTCCCTCCCGGGCGTGTGGGGTTTCGGGTCTACAAAAGAGCCCACCGGATTGCCTTGTGTACCGCGCTTCCGGCGAGTCTTCTTCGACGTGAGCTGCGGCGCATCACCCCCGGTGTCGAGGGTACACGTGACGTGCTCGTGTGCGAACACACTTTTTGGCGACTCCGCTGGGGGCGAAGCTTTGAATGGTCTTCGGCCTGTTCTTGGTACGAAGAGATTGTCATCTAGGGTTTGCAATCTACAAAGGTAATATGAATACTCAATTCACATATGTAGATGCAAATAATGCATATGTTGTTGCTAGATCATCTAATGAGCATAATATATCGGCTAGCCCTAGTTTTATGAATCATGCATCTAATTATGCGCAAGGGCCGATGCAAAACAATCTTCATGCTTCAAATTCTTATGATTTTAGCAACGTACACCATATGTATCCAAACTCTCATGCATCGGCAACCCCACAAATCCATATGCCGATAAACAACATGATGGGTTTGGTTAATCAATTTGAAACACCTCATGTTAAAATTTCCAATAGCATACAAGAAAGTGTTTCACCTTTTTATTCATCGGCAACTAATTTGCAATATGTGAATCCAACCTTACCGATGGATGGGAGAATTGGCCATGCTACTACTAGCTATTCGGCCAGTTACTCTCTACCATCATATGCTACACCTCATGTTAGTAATTTTTCAGCACCGTATGCAACTGTAGATGTTCATAATTCGGCCCCGCGTCTTCATGGTCATAGCAGAATAAGTGAAAATTTTACAGGAACACATGTGTTGTCATCAAATACTGTAGCATATAATGCATACTCTACGCAATTCAAGAATTTTGACAACTCTCACGAATCATTGCCGAAAGAATCTGAAAGTATTGCGGAGCAATCCCTTCCAAAAGCGGTTGTGGCTGCATTAAAAAAGAGCTTGACACAAAACAAGAGAATTAGTGCTCTTTGCCTTGAACAATATGAAAAGGGTTTGTTTCCTGATTATGCTGCAATAAAGGCTAGAGTTTTGCAGGAGGATGAAACTTCATCAATTGGTAGTATTGGTGAGAGAGCATATGGTTATACAGAAGTGCATACACCTCCACCTAGTACCGCAGCATATTATACACCCCCTACACAATTGCAAAATTTGGTAACACTAATACTTCATTGCCGAAAGATCCTAAAAGCATTGGGGGCAAACTAATCTAGAGCGGGCTGAAATTGAGAGGGGAGTTAAAGCTTTGCGCGATAGGGTGCAAGTACTTCGCCAAGAGAGAATTGATAGGGAATTAGCTCAAAGAAAAGAAGTCTTGCCAATTGATATAACTGGTGAAAAGAATGATGATTCGGAAACTAAAAGTGCTTCGGTTGAAAAAGCCGAATCAAGTAGTATATATTCCGAATCCATCAAATCCAAAGAGGCAAACATTGTTGAGAAAGGGCATGGAAAGTATAGCAAGACAGCCATACTTGATTTTTCTGACGTTAACGGAACCTTCTTCCTGCCCTATGAGTTTCGTGCCATAGAAATTGACGAGCTTCAAGAACAAGAACAAGTAGCCGAAGAAAGTTTGGTGGACAAATATCTTCAAACTAATGATGCACGAAATCAAGAAAAAAATTATGACAAGGCGTTGGGGAGCTATCAGAAGGCGGAGCAAGATATTCTTCAAATCACACCACCATCACGCTCTCCCAACATATTTGAAGAGGTCTGTCTAGCAATTAATTTACCTGTTTTCAGATTTGGTCATGACTTAGTTGTTGATGCATATATTAGAAAAAAATTCATAAGAAATATTGAGAGACCAATGAAGAAGGGTAATTCATTTGTTAGCAATCAGATTGTCACAAAGTATATCAGTCAATACATTACACCATTCAGAAAGACCGATAGCGAAAAATTATTGCAGCCAAGGCTTTCCCCATTGCTTTATCTAAAGTTCATATCTAATGGTGTAGATTTGCTTATTTCTTACTTGGCTTACACTTGGTCTCAACTGAGACATGTATGTTCTAACTATTTTCGTTTCAGAAATTTAAAGCCAAGGTTAAAATCTACTGAGCAAACCGATGCAAGTATAGGTTCTTATCCAATGACATCGGTAAGAGAATGCAAAATAAAATTCATAGCCGAATGGGGTGATACAAAATCTGAATCATTCGTTTGCTTAACTCCAAAGCCGTTATCACAGCAAGATCAGCTAGAAAATAAGAAGTTTACCTTCAATTAAAGCATGTGTGATCAAATATTTGATTTGTTGCTGAAAAATAATTACATAAGAATTCTTGATCACCATGTCAAGCCATCAATTCAAGGACGAATGTATTGTAGGTTGCATCATTCGTTCAAACATAATTTTGAGGATTGCAATATGTTTCGTCAAATAGTTAAATTGGCCATTGATAAATGACGATTGAAATTTGTTGAGACACCAAGAGATGACCAGTCTATCCCGATTGGTCCTGATGGGAAAAAGTTTATGCATCGGCTGCTTCAAGCCGATCCATTTAAAAAGAAGGTAAAAACTGCAGGTGATGGGATCAAGCTTTCAAGAAGAGAAGTTGCTGAAGAGCATAATGAACACCATCTTGAGGCCGAGAATTCTGTCGAAGCTACAATGAAGACGCCAAGGACTGGGGGGCAGCAAGCAAATCCAATGTTCAATGAAAGCGAACTGAAAGAGAACAAAGGCCGAAATAGGCGCAAGTGTAAGAGATCAAAAATCACCTTCACTGAACTATTGAATAAATATCAAAAGAAGAGTGAAGAGAATACTCATCAGTCGAATCATGCAAAGCAACTACGATCACCCCCAAGGAGCAAATATGAGGATCGATATTGGCAAAGTGAGAATTTTTATGCAACATATTCATATCTTTTAGGCCGCCAATGCCAATGCGGTGGATGCCTCCCTATGCTCATGTAGATCCATATCCATCATGGGACAGGTATGATCCAAGGGCACATTCTCCATCTTATTTTAGACCATCTCACCAATGTTATGCAACTCCAAGAAGATCAACATTTCAGCAATCACATGTTAAAGAATGTTTCAATCATAAGGAATCGGTCTGGAGCTCAAGGAAGAAGAAAGAGGTGGTCAAACAAGTTTACCGCGTTAAAAGAGATGGTCGTAAGAGTGCTACTTCAGATTTGATCTCAAATGAGAAAGAGCCAATGAAAGTGTTGACGTTGGCTACTCAAAACAATGAGATGAAGCAACCAATTATTGAGAGTCAAAGTGCCAAATCTGAAGAAAAGAAGTTGAGAGTGCACAAGGTAAAACAAGAATTGACATTGCTTCAAACAAAATCGCAGCCGGGGTGCCCACTTGGCTTATCATATTGGCAAAAGAAGAAATTACAAAAACTTAGTGCACAAGAACTTGAGGAAAGGAATATGGCATGGGTTCCCAAAGGAAGTGCTCAAAATAAGAATTATGTGCAAGCTTCCATTACAAGAAGTGCGGCAAAGGTGAAGAAGGAAAAAAGTGAAAACTATGAAGGACCAAGATGAAGGTTTCAGCATCTTCGGTCTACACATTATCCATATTCTTCAACTATGCCATTAACACCTATGCCATGGAATTCGTCATCAGGTATGATTGGTAACCCTCAATGGGCTTATTTTAATCCATGGTTGCAACATAATTTTCTATATCATGAGAGGGTATTACCAAATCACTATACATTTGGTTAGTAACAATTTTGTTGCTAATACAAAGGGGCCGAAATATTTTATTGCTATTTCATTTGTTTATTTCGGCTATACAAACTTTGGTGGGTGAATTCTATATGGACCTCATGGTAATGGCTGATATTTATCTATCGCCCTAAGAATATGTCAAAGCATGGTCGGTGTGGTACCCTAACATCGTCCTTAGTTCAATAGGAGAG